CATAAAATGATTGACAGTTGTTCGTCTTGAGTGTCAGGAGCCAAAAAGTGACAAGTTTACCTTGACTCACATGTATATTGCATATTTATTGCCTTACACATTTAAAATAAAAAAAAGCAGTAGATTGATGACGTAAAATGTTTGACATTTATTGATATATCTTGAGCTTTTGGAGAAAAAAATATAGTTAAAAATCACTGTCATCTACAGTTATATCTGGTTACCGAACATTTAGTGACTTTAACCTGGGAATAGGCGCAGTTTAATTTATCAAATTAATATCATCAGAGAGCAGAGAGCTATAGTATAAGATTAATTGCTGATAATATTTCCACCTGTCTGTAGTGTATGATTATCCAAGCCTCTTCCTCTCGTCAAATAAAGACATGAAAAATGATGCCTGTAATAATTTTAGGCTTATACTTACCCGTATATTTGCACAAATATTGTATTCAGTGGTTGGTGTTGAAAAGCTTTCATTTGCTACCAATCCAACTCCAATAAAGCAAAGTAGAGGAGCTCGACCATTATTCCCAAATTGACGAACAGAACCCGAAATCCCTTGCCATGCTGCTCTTCGCCTCAACTCAGCTGCAACCGAACGAACCGAAACCTTTGGGAATAGTCCATCGAATATGACACGTTGAAATGATGGTTTGATGACATTAACTCTCACTGGTGGCGCAAAGACTTGAGGTACCTCTACTGTAATATCAGGCCTTTCAGTCTTTTGGAATACGGACTTGAAAATCTTCCTGCCATGTTGAACAGCTCTTGCAACAGCCTTTCTAAACGGTCCCTCGAAGCCAGCTCCAGTAGCCTGTGCCCATAAGGGCGTAATAATTTGATTAAATACCTTCTCCTTCATAAATCTTTGTAGATGTCAATAAGTAAAAGTAAATTCTACCCCATTCTGGGGAGAAAAGTTTCTGTATTATCCCAACCAACCAAGGGCACTTTGTAATAAGACGTAGTAATATTTTGTCACGTGACCATAACAA